CCTCAGCTAACAGGATGTATCAGTCTCTCACTCCGCTCTCTCTCTCTCACGCAGGCGCAGAACGTATGTGCCACTTGGCCATTGGATGTAGTCCATGTAGTGTGTTCAGATGCAACTGACACAGGGCGATGTAGATGACACAACAGTTGGCTTTCGTCGCTGCTAGTTCTTTGATGTCAGTTTGGTGTGTCCGCACCTTTAGACGTCATGGAAGATATTGCTGCATTCGTCTCAAACCCATTCGTGCCCATTGATATAGAGCAGGTAGCAGCCAAATTCCAGAAAGTATTTACTTTGCCAAGTGAAGCTGACATGGAGATGGTTGATTTACAAAATGACATCAAGCTGAAAGCCAGATCCAGGGACAGTGACTTTTGGGGACTTGTCAGCAGAGAGAAGTTTCCTCACTTCACTGCATGTGCACTAAGAGTGAGTGCCTACTTTGGATCCACGTACCTATGTGAAATGGCATTTTCACAGATGAAAATAATAAAATCAAAGTACAGGAGCAGCCTTACTGACAGACACCTCACAGACTGTCTCAGACTGGCTGTCTGTAGTTATGAGCCAAACTACAAAGCACTCACAGACAGTATCCAGTCACAGCCATCACATTGACTTGAGTGAGTAACATGACTGCCTTCTGACATGAAAAGTGATGCTGCATAAGATGACTGCACGTAGCACTGAGACAAAATAGCCTACATTACAGATCTACTTTATAAAATGCTTATATTTGTAAATGACAATAAGTAAGAATAAGTCAGTCAAGTGTCAAAATGAAGGGTGATAGGCTACATATGAAACCTAGAAGTGATGCTGCATAAGGTGACTGTGCTTACCACTGACTGAGAAAGCAAACATTATAGTTCCACTTTATAAAAAATGTTTGTCAGTGATAAGTATGAATAATAATAAGTCAGAGGGCTCTAGTTTCCCGGTGGGCGCAGGGTGGCGAACCCCGCGCAGAGCTAGTTTCGAGCAGCGCAACCCAAAGTGGCAGCGCAGCAGGGGGAGGTGTCGACAGATCCAGCTTGGCGCAGTAACAGTTTCGTGCCAAAAGGCTTCGCCGAAGGTGTGCTAAAAGCTCGCCAGATGAAACCAGGTCTACTGTCAGCGCAGGTGGAGGGCAGCTGGTGTACGCCGAAGTTTGGCTGACCGGCGGACAGTGCGCACACGTCACCAAAACCTCACAGGCAGGTTTCCAGAATATCAGGCACATTAAAAATGCAATAAATACCCAAAAAAACACTATTCAATGCAACTATCTGCAATCAGCACATAAATGTATCTCTTTATCGACTGTCCCGTCACATCTGATGTCAGATCAAAGGGGATTGGCACCGTTTGGCACTGTTTGGCACTGTTTGGCACGTTTGACATGCGTAATGGAAACCCAACCTGATTTGATTAACACAGCTGCAAACTAATGAGTTCACATCCCTCTCAGCCAACCACAAACAGCCACAGCATCAGATAGGGAGTATATATTCAGCATCTGTCATCTTAGAAAAGTCAAAAGAAAAGAAACAGAGTGAGACTGCGAGAGAGAAAGAGAGAGTGCGCGCGCGCACGCACGAGAGAAACGTAACATTGATTTACAATTGTGGTGACCTCCTCCCAGGCTACCTTTGCATCATCAGCCCGTGGAGGTCTGCTCGCAGTTCCGTATATTCGGACACTGCGAGCTTGGACCTCCTGGACCAGAAACATCAGTTTCCTCCTGGGAGGAGTTTGGCTGTCTGACGCTGCTGCTCTCTTCTGCCATGGCGAATTGAGTAAACTCTGATTACGCCTTTGCGCGGCGAAGGGCGAGGAGAGGGGCTCATTTGATTGGTGTGATGTGTGTAAAACCCACTCCACGCCTTCTCTCCTCCCTCTTTCCGACTTGCGCAGGTAGGAAGGACGGAGGTGGGACAGACGAGTAGCTGCGCCAGCGCGCACGGTGTGCCAAACTTGCAAAATCCTGGCCACACCCAATTGGCAAAGCACAGGTGCGCTGCGCCCCCGCCTCGCCCGGTCTGTGAAACTAGAGCCCCAAGTGTCAAAACGTGAAGAATGTCAATTTGTTGTTGGCTGGTATGAACAAAATAATTTCCTCATTCATTCTTTATGCCTTTATTTTTGTGTTATGAAACTACATGACTCTCAAATGAATGTTATTTTGTACAATTCTTTAAGCAAGACTGTTTGATATGCCAATTAATTGGTCTTTTCTTGGTTGCATCAATTTGAATGTTGCAGCAAAGTGCATGTAATTCAAATACAGGCAAATAAAAGGCCTCAAGTAGGAAGTACAGTGTTAGCTGTCTTTTTCTATCAACACTTGCCTTTCACCAAGGCCGAGGTCAGGGACCTTGGACTTAAAAAGGTTGGTGACCACCGGTCTACGGGATGTGTGTTCAATCACATGCTACTCAGCTGTGCATTTTACAATGAAGTGCAAAAATGTGTGTGTTTGGGAAGTACTGAGCATATGAATGGATAAATGAGACTTGGATTATACTGCACCTGTTGTGTGACAGTTTGTAAATGGATATTTTGGATATGGTTTTGCCGTTGTCAAATGTAGACCCTGTTAACTGCAATTGATCAAGAATGTTGCCTTTATTGGATCTCTGTTCACAGTGGAGGATTACGAGAAATAAAAAGTTTTCTTCACAAATTCAAGGTAACATGCAGTGAATAATTCATATACATATAAACAAATGGTCATTTTGTGGGTGAAGTATTCTTTTAACTATAAAAATACACTTTTTTCCAACAAAACTAAGTTGAAAAAAAAAATCTGGTATTGTATTTAATCTAAGGTTTATAATCCAATGAAAATTGTCAACAATTACCAGATAGATTACTGTAAAATATGTACAGACATTCAGAGTTCCTAGACAATTACTTTAGTTATCCTCTGACTCACTGAATACCTCTGTAGGTAAAAACTTCAGAGTCTTTAGTACTTCACTATTTGATCAAATGCATGCAAATTTGATGACACACAAACCTCACAGCTTCAGCTCCATGTTAAAGCTAACTGGCAAATGTTACACATGAAACTAAGAAGGAGAACATGGTAAACATTATACCTGTTTAATATCAGCATGTTAGTGCTGTCATTGTGAACATGTTTCAGTGTTGCTGTTAGCATTGAGCTTAAAGCACCACCACGCCACAGATCAACCTCACAGAGTCTTGTTTTATTGTTTCAACCCTTGGGATAGTCCCCACAGACATATATGATGACACATTCGATTACTGGAACCATTACAAAAGAATAAGGGCTTGACTCAATAATGACACGGGCATAGGTTGTTTCTGTTCAAGAAAGAACTACAATTGTCAGGGGCCAAGATAGGACTTAGAAAGCAATTATTTACCAAGTCTTGTGAAATCACTCAATGACTTGTACCATCACAGAAGATAATTTGCTCTTCTTGAGTTGATGGCTTTTGAATTGATTGATTACCTCCATATAGTCTTAGGATACTGCCTCGTATATAAATAAAAAATGTACTTTACCCTGTTTTAATACGGTATGCATTTAAATGCAAATGTGTTAAAGGAATAGTTCAGATTTGTTTGTTTTTTTTAAGCGATTTTGTATGGAGTACTCAGGTTATCCATATTCAGAGTATTACACATGCCCCCAGTTTTGAGATGTGCCTACACAGAAGCTAAGCAATGTATTGTTGTGGAGGAGAGCATCAGCAAATCATATTTTAGTCTAAAAACAAAGTCAGTATCAGTTTAAATGTATGCTATATTGGGAGTATTTTTACCCCATTACTGTTCCTGTCAGACAGCCCATTCCTACAGCTGTTAACGGCTTCAGTGCCTCATCTATGTTCTCGTTAAAGCCACCAGACTCAGGGATTGAGGTAGCGGTAGACCAGCAGCTCCTGTGTTCAGTGAGGGTAAATCACTGTTTTTTCTCAATGGAGTCTGGCTCTGAAGAGAGCAATATCACAGTCTCATTTCCCTGTCAAAAATTGTTGTCTGATGGCAAGGTAAAGCAAATAATATATTCTAAATCTGACGTACACTCAAACTGATAAGGACTGTTTTGCTGCAGCCCCTGTCCACAGCAGTACATTGCTTGGCTTCTGTGGCTGTACTCCTGTGTGCTTCTCCAAACTGGAAGTGTGCTGACCACCAGTTACTTGAGGTAATACACTGACTATGGATAAATACTTCATACAACCCGACTTAAAATCCTGATTATCCCTTTTAAATCTGGTTTTAAGTTGTCATAGTGTTTTGCATGAAGTGCTACAGTACATCGAGGCAAAAATGTGTCTCCACTTTTTTTGGTGTTGTATTTATCCAAATAAATTTGTGTGCTGCTGGACTGAGGGCTTAATGTAATTGCACAAGATTAAGATGATGACGACAATGACGCTGATGATTATATTTAAATTCAACAAAAATATTAAACATCTGAATTAATGACTGAAACATGAAACTTGGTACCATGTGATTGGGCATACTTTCCAAAATATCTTAATGCATCAATACTGAGATAATACTGTGAGATTTACATCAGTAGTCATTGTGCCCTCCCTGACTTGCAATATAAAGTTAGCAGAATGGTACTGATATAAAATGCTTGGTGCATTCCCAGTCTCACAGTTAATCTGTGTTTAGTGTTTTGGATCTGCATCGGGAGTTGGTGGTTAGTCAGCTGTGGGTACACATTATTGCAAATGAAAGATCAGTACCTGCTGTTTCTGGAAGAATCTAGTTGTGCCTACATGTCCGTATGGGACTATGGGAGGGTCTCCTGTCTACACCAGAGCCCCAGTACAATGAAAGAAGAAAACCCCAGTTTCCATGACAATTACACCGACACACTCCACCCTCCGCATTATCAAATAGACTTAAAACAACACAGCCCTCCCCTCCCCTCCCCCTGCCATACACACACACACACACACACACACACACAGATAATATCCACACAGCTTCAATTAAGAAACGATCTGGTTTGGAACGTAGCATCTTACCTGATACTATGCTGGTCATTGTTGCTGACAGTGGAGGAAGAGGAGAGAGCTGGAGGATGCTGCTGGATGGAGGAGAGGAGAGAATGTGAAGCATTCAGAGAGGGACGATCAAGAAGGAGGAGGAGGAGGAGGATAGAGGGAGAGGGAGAGAGAGAGAGAGAACATGGGCTGGGCATGTGTCTGTGCCCTGCATGGTGCAGTGCACAAGTGTATGTGAACAATCAGCCCTTATTTTATTTGATACTGACCATGATATAAAAGGAAAAGTGGATACAGTGCTACATACAGTACATTTGTGCACAGTAATGAGCAGGGGAATGTCTGTCTAACTTATGTATAAGGTGTCTATATCTATACTTTATACACCTAACAGCTACTACACATTCATCTTCTATTTTTATCATTTATTTATAACAGGCAACAACAAAACAATGACACATTGTGCACAGTTTAGTGGTCTATAAAACAACCTTCACAATCTTTACACAAAATTGAAAAAATGGTGTTCTGTGAATAAATAAAATATATAATAGATAAATATATATAATGAAATGAACCAGCAGTCTACCTATGTTCAGTTGCAACAATCTAATTGCTAATTGCGTTCTCCTCTCTTTATGCTCCACTCCTTGTCTTTGCTCTGCTCTCAGCAGAGCAGTTTGTGAATCTGAATCTGCCAGAGAGTTGGAGGAAGACCGTGTGATTTTACACCCGACTAGCTTACTTGTTGTTAATCTTAACGGTAGGTTACTGCCTATATTATACTGGCTGTATTAAGATGTTTTAATAGTCCTTTAATCTCACAACAGTGATGAACAATGCCAAAGTATAGGGCAAACACTATCATTAGCTGGCTGTCCATGAAGGCAGGTCAGAGAGATGTAATATTTACTCTACAGCTCTGCAGAGCACACAGTTTGTGTGCAGCTGACACAAGGGGAGCTGAAGAGGGAGGGGCAGGACTCAAATGAAGTTGTTGGGCATACAACTCACTTTAAATTGGGAATTGATGCCGTAGGCAAAATTTAAAAACTTTAATATAAAATCATTAAAATAAATGAAAAGTGTTTGAGCACCCCCTGGGGTCTATCTGTGCATGTGCTTGTCCAGACATTTTTTTTTTTTTTTTACAATGTAAATCCATGAGAAAACGTAATTTGCGCTCCCTGGGATCACATGACAGACCCGGAAGTTGTAGTTATAGGTATGGACTTTAGTCAAATGACTTGGACTTTATCACCAATGACCACTTGGACTTGAGCCTGTTGACTTAAAAATACTTGTTATAATACATAAAGCTTTTTAATCCCAGCAAGTCGACAATTAATTCCCCAGATTCACTTTGTTCTTGAACCAATCCAACAGCATCCAATCAAGTTGCAGGACAGAACCATAAAGGACTAATGTTATGCTACTGAGCACCATTTAGAAAAGATCATGCCAAATATAATTTTGTTTATGTACAAAAACTATGCAGTGATCAACAAATACCAAATTGCAGTGTGCAAAAATGTGGGACGAATATTACAGACGAAGACACAACAACTCCCAACTTTGTTTCGACATTTGGAGTTTCATAAAGAATGCTAAGTCGAGGCTAATATTAGCATAGTTAGCAAGCTAATGCTTAGCTATTGCCAAAGATGGTTTTATATTGGAGTTAGCTAAAGTTAATAGTTCTGAAGGCACTAATAAACTACACACTTACAAGTCGCCAACCATCAAAGTCAGAGATTCTGGGGAAAGATTGTTGATATTTGCTGTGGGATTCAGCATCTCATATGCCATATTTACCATCCCTCTAGCTCCCACTGGCTTACTCTTTAACATCCATGGTTTTCCCCCTGTGCATGAGCACAAATTCTCCATGATGCTGACTGGCTGGAATAGTGTTGTGTGGTTCAGTCTGAGCAACTTTGTTTCCCATTTATAGCCTCTGACCACCAGATTGTTTTTTTCTCGCTCACATACAGAATGATCAGTTAGCAGACTGTGAAGAGATATTTAAAAAAATCAATTAGATTAGAATCGCTAACTGCACCTTTAAGGTAGTGAACCATTAGTTTATAGTTATACCATGCAGGAATGGTCAATGACTGTTTGTAAAGACAAGATTCAAACTTGGCCCCTCCTGCCTAAACTGCTTGTTACTATGCAGGAATTTTGTAGTGTTACATCCTTCAAACCTTGGTCAGTAAAGGACATGGGTGACAGTTATGTCTAAGGTTACAATCAGGTCAGTGGAAGGCCTAAAAGATGCCTTGAGGTCAGGCTACTTGACCTTTGTAATGAACGCACTCCATCTTTGGTCTCCTTGTTGTGGAGGAGGTATCACAGCTTCCCAGATAAGGGTGCCTAGCTGGGTCCGTTGCCATAGCTCCCAAGGTTAAGAGGAGGGGAGATTGCCCTGTGCTCCAGGCTCAACGAACGCGAGTCTCATTTTAGATAGGTGCATTTTGTAAGAGACAGTCTAGGTGATTTAGAGCAAGCCGGGCGAGCATGATTGCTTTTTTAAAGTCAGTAAGCAATAGAAACTTCACAAAACCATAGATGAATAACCTTATTGGGAGCGTGGAGTAACTCGTAAGAGAATACTGCTTGGGTTAAATGCAAGGACTGGACAGGGACATCCTCAGAATCTCTGGATGACATACACTGTGTCACACTCTGTTCAACTGTGATTCTCTTGAATCAAGCCTTCATTACATGCTGGGTGTAATCCACTGAAGTCTCTTGAGGTCTTCATCAGCTGTTGAATCATCAATTCAATTCAATTCAATTCAATTTTATTTATAAAGCCCAATATCACAAATCACAATTTGCCTCACAGGGCTTTACAGCATACGACATCCCTCTGTCCTTAAGACCCTCACAGCGGATAAGGAAAAACTCCCCAAAAAAACCCCTTTAACGGGGAAAAAAAACGGTAGAAACCTCAGGAAGAGCAACTGAGGAGGGATCCCTCTTCCAGGACGGACAGACGTGCAATAGATGTCGTACAGAACAGATCAGCATAATAAATTAACAGTAATCCATATGACACAATGAGACAGAGAGAGAGAGAGAGAGAGAGAGAGAGAGAGAGAGAGAGAGAGAGATGCAGGTAATGACAGTAGCTTACAACAACATTATTGAAAGTAATAATATTATAGTTATAGTTCTGGCTACTGTGGTACAATATGTTGAAAGTATGTATTAATATCTGGCAGTATACATGTGTGACAATAGTCATATGTGTATAATAACAGTAGAAGTATGACTAATGACTAATGATGGCAGCAGCAGCAGGAGGCATCTGGCAGGACCACGGCAGCAGCACAACCACACACGTCACGCTGTCCAGGCACCGCTGCGATATGAGTTAATCTGAGAGACAGTGGAGCACAAAGGCTCCGGAGAAGAAGCCGAGTTAGTGACATCCAGAATGGCCGAGTTAGCAAGATGCAGTAATAGGATGAGAGTGAGAGAGAGAGAGAGAGAGAGAGAGAGAGAGAGAGAGAGGGAGAGAGAGGGAGCCCGGTGTATTATAGGGGGTCCTCCGGCAGACTAGGCCTAAGTCAGCCTAACTAGGGGCTGGTACAGGGCAAGCCTGAGCCAGCCCTAACTATAAGCTTTATCAAAGAGGAAAGTCTTAAGTCTAGTCTTAAATGTGGAGACGGTGTCTGCCTCCCGGACCGTAACAGGAAGATGATTCCACAGGAGAGGAGCCTGATAGCTGAAGGCTCTGGCTCCTGATCTACTTTTGGAGACTTTAGGGACCACGAGTAACCCTGCGTTCTCAGAGCGCAGTGTTCTGGTGGGATAATATGGCACTATGAGCTCTCTAAGATATGACGGAGCTTGACCATTTAGAGCTTTATAAGTTAACAGTAGGATTTTAAATTCAATTCTGGATTTTACAGGGAGCCAGTGCAGAGAAGCTAAAACAGGAGAAATATGATCTCGTTTCTTAGTTCCTGTTAGTACACGTGCTGCTGCATTCTGAATTAGCTGGAGAGTTTTTAAGGACTTACTAGAGCTACCTGATAATAGAGAGTTACAGTAATCCAGCCTTGAGGTAACAAAAGCGTGGACCAATTTTTCTGCATCTTTTCGGGTCAGGATAGGCCTAATTTTCGCAATATTACGCAGATGAAAAAATGCAGTCCGTGAGGTTTGCTTTAAATGAGAATTAAAAGACAAATCTTGATCAAATATTACTCCGAGGTTTCTTACGGTAGTGCTAGAGGCCAGAGCAATGCCATCTAGAGAAACTATGTCATCAGATAAAGAGTCTCTGAGTTGTTTGGGGCCAAGAACAATAACTTCAGTTTTGTCTGAATTTAACATCAGGAAATTGGTGCTCATCCAATTTTTTATGTCTTTAAGGCAGTTATGGAGTTTAGTTAATTGATTACTTTCTTCTGGCTTCATCGATAAATACAACTGTGTATCATCCGCATAACAATGGAAATTTATAGAGTGATTTCTAATGATGTTACCTAAAGGAAGCATATATAGAGTAAATAGGATTGGTCCGAGCACAGAACCTTGCGGAACTCCAAAACAAACTTTGGTACGTAAGGATGATTCATTACGAACGTCAACAAATTGAAAACGATCAGATAAATAAGATTTAAACCAGCTTAGTGCTGAACCTTTTAGGCCAATTAAGTGATCCAGTCTCTGCAGTAGAATTTGATGGTCAATTGTGTCAAACGCCGCACTAAGATCTAATAAAACAAGAACAGAGACGAGTCCTTTGTCTGAAGCAATCAGAAGGTCATTTGTAATTTTAACTAGAGCTGTCTCAGTGCTATGATGCACTCTAAATCCTGACTGAAATTCCTCAAATAAATTATTATCCTGGAGAAAATCACACAGCTGGTCTGCGACTACTTTCTCAAGGATCTTTGACATAAAGGGAAGATTAGATATTGGTCTATAGTTGGCTAACACCTCTGGATCCAGGGTGGGCTTTTTTAGGAGAGGTTTAATTACAGCTACCTTAAAAGACTGTGGTACATAGCCTGTTAATAGGGATATATTGATCATATCTAATATATGAGTGTTAACTAAAGGAAAGACCTCCTTAAGTAGCCTAGTTGGGATGGGGTCTAAGAGACACGTTGATGA